TCGTAATTCCAACAGATTGTCAGAAGACTTGGTCCAAACACTACATTGATGGTGTCAAGGAAGAACTATAGCATCATTTTAATATCAACTTCAGAGTATAGTCAGAGCTATTTTACAACGTAATTTTGTAGATGACATATCACAAGATATGAAAATATCCGAGTTCCATTTTAATGAAAGAAGCAGTTGTTTATAATTTTTTTAAAAAGCTTATTTATGTTTTATTAATAGTGAGGAATGTTATATAAAGTGTCGTAAAATCATATGTTTCGATATCACTGACTTTTGAAAAGTTCTATGATTTTAAGATTCAAAAAATCCTTTGGATTTTTTGAGAATCCACCTTTGATTTACACCACGTCTTCGGCATGCTGTAGCATACTAAAGAGAGACTGAGATTTCTCTTTAACAATCCAGTTCTTCTATAGTATGTTTAAAAAGATTTTAAAAATCTGCACCTTTTTCCAGAATTTATTTTTGGTAAGTTATTGTGGTGGAAAGCTGGTGTAAACAAGAGATCTATGTTTTGAAATGAATTGTCTGTATAGCATTTCCTACTAGGTTTTATTAAAATAAACTATGGCATTTTCTCTTACTTTTATGTGTGATATGAAAATATCCATTGAACAAGTTTGATAAATCAATGAAATATGGAGATAACGAACAGTATTCAAGCTCATTGTCCATTTAAACAGCACAAATCGGGAGCAGAGCAAACTCGGACCTCCAAAAACATCAGAGCCGGATTAGGTGCTATGGAGGAGTAAGTATCCCCTATCAACCGGTCACACCTGTCGTGTGCTCCTTGTCATGATCGGGTAAACGGAAAAATCCGTAGAAATATCGATTTGTAAATAATGGCTTAACAATTAGTCTGAAAGACGCCAGTCAGCATAAGACCAAATGATAGATTGTATTTGCTGATAAGGTAATAGCATTGACCATAGAACTTGCAAAGAAGAAGGTATGGTTTGGGCTTTATTGTGCCCTAAAAATTCATTTTTTTCAAAAAGTAATGGTATTGGCTTAAATATTAGTTGAGTATATGAATGTGATAAATAATGAAAGAATACGGCATGAAAGAGGACCACTCTGGAAATATGAGGTCATTAATTTGGTACATTTCTAAGTTTTTAACAGAAAAGCATCAAAATGACTGAATTCTGGGGTTATTTTCCTTAAGAAAATAGTGTCCACAGCCGTCGCCCACTGCAAATTTCGGATATGTTGTGTAAAATCCTCTGAAAAATTATATTTCTGAAAATCTGGGCGATGCATGTGCTCTATATTATCTAAGAGAAAATTTCACTGAAAATTGATGTCTTCTGCAACATTTTAAGAATATACGGGAAAATGCACAAGTTTATGACGTCACAATTAGCCTTTAGGAAGTCATGTGAGAAAAACGATTTGTATGTTTTTACTGCATGGAATTTCAACGACTCAGAAAGCATGAATTTTAATTTCTTACATCACTTTCATATTTTTGAAAAATACTGGGCAGGATTTGTATTGAAAGCGTACCTTGTTCTTGATGACTTCGAACGAGCTGTTGATATCCTTGTTTCATCAACTTGTTGGTTAATAGCTTGCCTCGTTTTAAAAATTAATCGGAAGTAGAGCTTGCTCTTGCGTATCGAATCAACTAGGAGAAAAAAACCCATATGCAGGTGATTAAGGTATATTGCTACATAAATAAGGGAAGTTGATGATAGAAAAGTTATCACGTTTTTCATAAAGTTTTGTCGTTAGGTTACCATCAACGTCTTTTTCAGTAAAATATCCAAATATGAAACAATTTATTCAAGCAGATTTAACAATTTCTCGATGATCTGGACAATACAGGACCACATCGCTCTTATGCGTCTCTTTGCTCATAATTGAGAAATGAATGCCTTAACACTTTATTCTTTGTCCAATTTTCACTTGAAAATCAAAAATCTCCACTGACCAGGGTCCTATACCTGCTGAATCTTGACAACCGTGAGTTGTCTATTGTTATAGGGAAGATGGTTTTAAGGCGATTCCCAATCAGGGTTCTCCATGGACCATTTTACGTGGCGGCCCCGCCACAGTTAAATTCCTAAGCGCCACATTTAAAAAAAATCAGCGCCATAGTTTCGCCACAGCTAAAATATAATTGCCACAGTATGATCATCGTAATTGTATAAATTTATAAATCTCAGAATGAACCTCTAAATAATGTACCGTTTTCAGTTTCTAATTTTAAACCGTTAATATGCTGTAATTAGATTGCCCATTGTTTGCCTTGCAAAATCAATTATCTTCTAGACCTCGCTGGATTTTTACGCATGAATGAAAAGAGACAAGCCATTTTTTCACACTTCCGGTAATTCCAGATGAAAAGATTTAATACAAATTAAATACTAAGGTGAAAATACTAAAGATAACCACTTCTCTAAAATTGCTTTAGCACTTCAAATCAAACAACGTACGTGTATCGTAAATACTAATCATGTATTGATCACTTTTGATGTAATGTTAAAAAAATAAAGATAGATCCATTAGAATACAGAAGAGTTGTGTGATTTTCAATTTATTTTGTGGTTTCTTCGTGAAATCAATCACGAAATGACGTACTTCCGTAAGTCTTGCGCCACAGTTAAATTTGAACTGATGGAGAACCCTGCAACAATCGTTTATGTTTGATCAGTGTTGTTTGTTATCCATCATTGAAACATGTATTTTACCAATGTCAGTTTCACAACAGACTCAAATGCAAAATTTTAAGAAATGCATTTTGCACTTTTTAAATTGTATCCGAATTCAAATGAAATCTTCATATACATGTATGCACTTATATAATTCTTTGAAATTGTATTACATGCAAGATAGACACATTAGGACATAGTCCTGTATATTAAGGTCCGTATATTAATGGTGGCTGGACGATCATATTTATGAAGTAGCAATGACAATAGGCTAGATATTCGCTAGCTGAAATAGAAAATAAAACAAGATAGAATCTTTTTACCACCCTGATGTGTATCAAAAAGGATAAAGAGAAAGAATCTGTTAAAGATCCAATAAATTCTAAAATGACTTTAGTAGAAAAGGGGGCAATATTGACACTGGACAAACATGATTTCTAAACGATGATGGGTAAGTCTATCACATTTTGTGTCAATATTGGTCTTGCAAAAAGAAATTCAGACAAGAGGATTAGTCAATTATGAAACATATATTTCTACCAAAGAACCAAAAGATCTGAAATTAATTGATCGACGATTGTGGCTGGCCCTTCTTTTGCATTCATAGACTGAGTAATTTTATAGATATTCTCTTAAAAGATCTGTGTGAAAAAGTTCCGAGCTACATGCGAGCTATTACTAGGGATAGGGTTAATAAATTTTGTTTAGATTTACGTTTTGGGGCAAAATCAAATCAAATCAACCTCTTTGTCGAAATGGATGCATGTATACTTGGACGCGTATAGCTGGTTGATGGATCTGCGCCTGCTAAATACTGTCGATTTGAATTTAATAATCTACTTTGATAACTTGGAACTTATGACAATAATATATTTTCCCACGGTATTTTTTTAGTGTTGAGAATTGCACGGGATATCGCGTTCGAGCAATATATGGGTTTGGTTTTATACCTTTAAGTAGAGATTTGTGATGTGCGCAAAGTATACAGTGTAAGGAATATAAGGCTATTGTCCTCTAAGAAGTTGATAAAACAGAGGGAAAAAAATCAAAATAATACTAAATATTGTCGGTGTATTTGTCGATTTGATTTTATTTTGCCCCAATACGTAAATCTAAACAAAATTTATTAACCCTAACTCCTAATTTCCAAAGTTTCGGCACGAGCATCACTGAAGAGACATAATTTGTCGAAATGCGCATCTGGTGCATCAAAATTGGTACCGTATATGATTTGCATTAATATGAAAAATTTATTTTTAAAAATACTCTAACAAACCTGGATGGGAATTGTATTGAAAAAATATCGTCAATATTCGAAAAAACATACAATCCAGTTTTATTAATATTAAATTTTTTACAGAAACTTTAATACATTCGGAAATAATCTTTGTTCTGAAATCTTTCGTTATACGAGTGTGTCATAAATTTGAAATATTAGTTGGAAGTAAAATGGAACATTATACATTATCATGGAATATATATATATATATATATATATATATATATATATATATATATATATATATATATATATATATATATATATATATATATATATATATATATATATATATATATATATATATATAGTTGTTAAGATGTAGGATGCAAGAACAGATTTAGATAACTGATGCATTAGTTTCATCCCAATTATGTGGAATTTTTATAAATATTAATATACATGTATAACGTTAACACTTATATTAATTTCTGCTTTCATTTTTAGTTATATATTTCCCAATTATTCATTGTCCTTTTATTTCTTTTTGAAGACGGAAAAAAAATGGCCTATCAATTTATTATTTCATTATCTCTCTCTATCTATCTGTCTTACACACACACACACTCTCTCTCTCTCACACACACACACACACACACACACACACACACACACACACACACATTTTTACTAAATACATCTTTCCTAGCGAAGAGATCTCCAATAAGTTAATCGTAAGTGCTACGACTACAATATGTTTTGTGGAACGCTCGTTTACGTGCACGTCCGACAACAGTATCCGTAATCGTACGTTTACGATCTACGATTTGTTGAGTGAAACGGTCGCCTGAGCACTCTATTTTTACAATTTATTTAGAATCAGTCGTATTATGAAAAAGCAAAAATGACGAAGAGTGATCAATCTCAAGAAAATTATACAAACAATGCAAATCTGTGAACGAGTTATGAAATATGGACCCTTTGAGATGTGTGATGAATTTCAATATCTTTTTAACATAAATGTGAATTAAGATTTGAATTTTATACTTACATGTTAATGGGCAGATAATGATAAAATAATTTAGGTATTGTTTTATTTTTAAGTAGTATCATGTAGCAACGACAATGAAATATAAAAAGTTACATAGCACAAAAGAAAGACCAGATAAAATTAAACAGAAGCGATCGGTAGCTTTTCCTATGTCCTTCCACGTCATGGTGCTATTATCGGTATTAACGCTTACATCCTCCCCAGATGCTTTCTTATCGTCCGCCACGCTCCACTTCCGCCCGAATAGGGAGCTCCAGCAAGTTTGGGGAAACATTAATCTGTGAAACAGTTGCAAACCCCTAGGAATAACTTTTTCCTCCTCACGGTGATGAAAACGCAATCCCATTATAACTCCAACCACGATGAACATTCCTATGATGAAGTCTATCAAGAGTTTGTAGCTAAGGTAGGCCACGCTGGGCTCTGAAGCTTCTGGTAATTTGTCTTGTATTAATGTCAGATAGACAGCGACAGCCAACAGGACGGTGACAGCAAATCCAACACGTTCCCCAGATTCAGGCGGCATTAGAAAAACAAATAACTGGAGGAAAGAGAGGAAACAGATCGGGAGGATTAAGCTAGATATATAGTAAGCAGATCGTCTCTTCATACTAACGGATATTTGTACCTCTTGAAACTCAAGTGCGTTGGTTGTGGTGTAAATATGTGTTTCAGTCACAGCCCACAGGCCATTCTCACTGTATATTGACATGTTTGCTTTTTTGTTGGTTTCTGAGATATTAAATAATAGTTCCGATGGACTGAATCCTGTTACATAGAACGGTAAAAAACAGGTCTGAGAATCAAAGGGATATTTGGACAAATCAAAGTCACATGTACTTTCATAAAGGTTTGGAATAAACCAAGATACAAGTCCATTACTATCTACTCTCAGGGTCAATTCCTTATGACCAGTATATTTTACTTCACCATAATCATGCATATTCAGAAGAAATGGTACCCATATCTTCTTTTGGGGGACAATAATGGAGTATAGATTCCCACCGTAGTGTTGTGGATTCCAAGTCAAACGATCATCAATCCAAAAGACACCCAAAGCTCCCGTAATTGAAAATTTACTGAGAGAACCATCCAACTCCTTCAGGCTTTTTAAAACGAAGGTGCAATCAATTTGTAATGGGATGTTCCTATTAAGCCCTGGTCGGATGTTTCTGTCGTACGTAGAGTTGAATATAGCGGTGTTTAGGTCCATTTCATTGTAAATATTGTACGTCAGCGAAAGAGGGACAAGACAAAAGAGGAATATTAAGATGTCCGCGCTCTTTTGCCTGTCCTCCATTAAGATGCAATATTTTCACAAGGACACTAGTCAAGCAATAGCGTGTCTTATTTAACTTTTATATATACATATGTACGAAAAATGGTTAATCAGAGCACAGAAATTAAGTTGTTTGTCGGCACAACACATTGAATTTCACATATCAAGTCACAATTATGTTTCTTTTTTGTTTTTCAAAACTTGCTTCGTAAATGGGGTGAAGTATTTTACATTGAATGAAATAATGGGTTTGTCAAATGTGCTGTTGATGAACAATTATGAATTACACTGTCGATGACACACACACAGTATTCTACACGATCCTCTTTTGTTTGTGGATATTTAAATGTCGACCTTAATACATTCATAGGAATTATGTAACGGTTCCAGCTCTTAATATTATTTTTTCAAAGACATCATGCAAATACAATAAGTAAGGACTTCTAACAAATACTTTGCTTTGTCTTTGACGATAATGTCAGAATAATGGTTTACTCCTGAGTGGATATTTTTCACAAAAGATGAGAAAAATGACTGACACATTTTAATATGTAACTACAAGCCGCAATTAGTAAGTAGGCTCAATTCTCATTTACACAGCAAATAAAATTATTTCATAGCGCAAGCTTTGTCATTCAAAACTGCAGTTTCCTTTTCTTGGACTATGAAAGATATGCGTTTTGGTTACATAAATCTTTTTTTTTTTACTCCTCACAAAAAAATTCACTGATGTAAAGGAGTGTGCTACAAAAAGTGGTGTAAACCGAACGTAGATTCTCAAAAATGTCAAAAAACATTTCAAGAGTCAGTAACATCAAAACATATGACTTTTCAACACTTTATACGACCATTCCTCACGATAAATTAAAAACTAGGCTTTTTGATATCACAAACTACTGCTTCTTCAATAAAAGGGAATTCGGAAACTTTCATATCTTGTGATCGGTCATGACTTTGTAAAAATCGATTTGATTGTGCACATGAGTACTCTAAGGATAATATTAAAAAGATGCTGGAGTTCCTCATTCACAACATCTATGTAGCCTTTGGAGACAAGGTCTTCCAACAAACTGTTGATGGATACTTATTGTGCTCCTTTATTAGCAGATCGGTTTTTATATTCCTATGAAGCAGAATTTATTCAAAAAAACTTCTAACTGAGAAGAAGAAAACACTTCTTGTAGCCAACGACTCGACATTCAGATATATAGACGAGTTTGATCATTTAACAGTAGTTACTTATATTCATATGTCGACTCGATATATCGCAGTGAACTAATAAAAGACACCACAGTCAGCCAAATCTATTTAATTTTTGGATGTTTGACTGACTATAGACGAAAAGGGCCAACTAACAATTCAACTGTATGACTAATGAGATGACTTCAACTTTACCATCGTCAACTTTCCTTATTTATTTAGTGATATTCCTCAATCACCTGCATGTGGTGTTTATGTTTCCCAACTTATTCGATACTCAAAAGCATGCTCTTAATAAGATCGGTTAAACCGAGGCATGCTATTTTCGAATGAGTTGATGTTACAAGGATTTCAACAACCTCGTATAAAGTCAACATACATTCTATGGTCATTATAATACTTTATGACCTTGTTTGAAAGTACATCTTATCATTGGGTAGTATGTTGAGTTGACTGACATGTTCTTAGGCCTTTGTTTTCATACTACATTTGACTACGGTATGTTCCATCCACCTGTTCGATACATCGAGCTCATTGGAGGGTGTGCCCGATCGACAAGGGATGCTTACTCCTCCTAGGCACCTGAACTTACCTTTGGAATTTTGCAGGGTCCGTGTTTTATGCCCTGTTTACAGATTTGTATTGTTTGTAGGTGTTTTATAATTAATCACTGTTCGTTATCTTCACCTTTTATATAGCCCATAAATAATTTTTGTATGAAAGTCTAACCATGAATGCTACGATTATCAAAGAATATTTTCAAATGCCTTTGCAGGAGTCAGAAACCAGGACATGATATTTATTTTCGGTTTGAAAATCTAGGAAACCCTAGAAATATATATATATGTATAAAAATACACAACAAGCGAAACATAAATAATTTTGTAAAACTTTTGGGGTCCATATCTGTTAAACACCAAGGCAAGTTTAGTTCACAGTATTAAACGAGAAGTTCTCAGCATTTACCGAGAGTTCTCCTTGATTGTTTCATTAACAAATTATAGTTAAGTTTTATGACTTACATATAAATAATTCCTTGAAGCACGGGTATGAGCATAACAATTTTCCCCCACGATCGCACACTATCAATTAATAAACATGTACAATTATACTGTTTTGATATTTTAACATGATCGTTTTAGATCTAATCCAGATGGGTATGGTGTGGCTCCACATTGTCTGGATCCTGGAACAGTAGAACACGTCACAGAGGAAGACTTTGACGGACAGAACTGGGAGCAGCATATCCAGACCTCTGATATCAGGTCAAGGTCAAAAGAGTGATGCCTCACCGGGAGTGGTGAAAACCTTCTACATAAATGAATGTGTCCAAAGATGTTTCTCGTCTGGATGCTGTTGTAAGAAATCCAGATATACATGTAAAAATCATATTTCTGTAACATGGAACTTAGATGTCTTTTTCACAGAACAAATGGCAATAATATCATATATATCTCTGTACACTATCAGCTTTAGTAATAAATGTTCAAACAATTTTTTAAAAAATATGAAATGCAGCTTCTTTCAGACTTAATTATGGTTAACTGTGGTGGTAGTAAGCTGATGTGAATAAGCAAATCGTGTTTTACTATAAATTGTTTTCATATAGTGTTTCCTATAATTGTTTATCAAATTAAACTTGAAATTAAATTATATGTATAATATAAAATTATACAGGTTTGCCGAATCAATCAAATTAATTCCATTAAGCAGATTTACAAAAATTTCTGTGATATTTTCTCTATGATTTTGACAATAAATTTATGCGTCTTTTTGCTCATGCTGAGAAATGAATGCCTAAACGCCTCGTTCTGTCCCAGTACATCACCATGAACTGAAATTCTTATACTTGATAACTCTGGGCAGCCTTCAGGTTTTCTATAGTCGCTGAGGAGATTGCGTTTTAAGACAATTCCACAACACTCATCATTTTTGTTTGATCAGTGTTTTATTCATCATATAAAATTGTGCCCCTTTATTAGCAGACCTATTTTTATATTCATATAAAGCAAAATTCATACAAAAACTTCCACATGAATGTCTCTTGCTGTGGCCTTCAATTTGACATTTAGATGTATCATATGTGGTCTTTGTTTCTGGTTTTTATGTGGTTTTTGGAGACCAGGTCTTCCAACAATCTATTGGAATTCCCATGGGTACCAATTGCGCCCCGTTATTAGCAGACCTATTTTTTGTAGAAGCAGAATTTGTTCAAAATCTTTTACGTGAAAAGAAGAAAACACTTGCTGTGGCCTTCAACTCGACATTTAGATATATCGACGACGTATTGTCAATTAACAATGGTTATTTCCATCCTTATGTCGACACGATATATCCCGGTGAGCTGGAGATAAAAGATACCAGAGAGTCTGACACATCAGTTTCATATTTGGATATTTTATTAGAAAAAGACGTTAATAACGTTAATGGTAATCTAACAACAAAGCTTTATGATAAACGTGATAACTATAACTTTTCAATCGTCAACACCCCTTACCTATGCAGCAATATACCCTTATCACCTGAATACGGGGTTTATATCTCTCAGTTGATTCGATAAGCAAGAGCATGCTCTACGTATGAACAATTTCTAAAACGAGGTAAGTTATTGACAAACAAACTGATGAAACAAGAATATCAGCAGTCTCGTTTAAAGTCATTATTTCGTAAGTTCTATGGTCGATACAATGACCTTGTCAGCAAATACAATCTATCATTAACGAAGCCAAGTCTAATTAGAGTGCGCATGACTTTGCGCAGCTTTTTAGTTTCATGCAGTCGTAGGTGCAACATAATACCTATCCTAAGTTTTGTAATTTTGATACAAAATTAACATTAAATTACATTATCTGTGACGTTTATGGGTTTTAAAATGTGCTTTTAAGACAATAATTAGGAATAAACACTGAAATGGCTTTCACGACGTCACTGTTTTCGGTTCTGTTAGCAATGCATGACGCGGAAGAATGACGCATTACTCGCTTGAGTTTTCAAGACGTCCTTGGACATTTTATAAAAAAAAAACTGTTGATAGAACATCAAAAGAAACATACCAGCAATCTAAGAATTGTAAAAAAAAAATTTACCAAAATAATTCATCTGTGCCGATATATACAAAATACATGCCGCAATATGGCAAATTTAGAGGTATTGGGCATTGGGAAAAAACTTAATAATAATTCCTAGACCAAACCAGATGGTCAACTTTTTTGGAATTTCACAATTTGGTGACTTTTTACAATATCTTTCATGTATTTGACTGAAAAGGAAATCTCTAGGGCAGAAATACAAAAAATATGGGGGAAATGTGATAATTTGGCGCTTTTCCCATAGAGTCCAATAGTAAAATTTGACAACTTTTGAGATGTCCCCCTAAGAAATCGGGATGGTAAGCATTTGATATTTTTATCTTAAAATAATTAAAATCATAGTAAAAATTCATTCAAGAATTTATCAAAATATCTAGGGTAGAAATAATTAGATTCGGCCTCGTTAAGTCAAATGCTGACTAACTTTTTTCATTCTAATTGTTGGGCCATTATTTACTTACTGAATTGTTGACGGATTTTTCCTTTATTTCCCGATCATGACAAGGACTTATATTGTACAGCGAAATGCCACCCCCCCTCCCTCCCTTAATTTCTGAATCTTGTACTAGAAAAGTTACAAAAAAAATTAAAGAGTTTCTTTATCTCAGTGTGCACACTGTTTCATCCTTTTTCCTTCAATATACCTATGATCGTAACACTATTGTGCATATGCATCTCGTTATTTCTATCCTGGGATAGGGGTTCGGACATTCGGAAAAACAACTCTGCGTTGAATAAAAGATTGAAGATAAATGTTATTGCAAAAATGAGCTTGAGGTGAGATCGTAAGTTCTATGGTCGATACATTGACCTTGTCAGCAAATACAAATTATCATTAAGTCAAATGCTGACTGACGTTTTTCAAACTAATTGTTAGACCATTACAAACTGAATTATCGACGGATTTTTCCGAAATTTCCCGGTCATGACAAGGAGCACACGGCGGGTGTGACCGGTCGGCAGGGGATGCTTACTCCTCCATGGTACCTGATCCCACCTCTGATGGTTTAGAGGCCCGTGTTTGCTCTGTTCCAAAATTTGTATTCTTTAATGGATTTTTGAGCTTGAATACTATTCGTTCTCTCTACATATTTTTCATCTGAACAGTGGAAGAAATATGTTTAATTTGAGACTTACCGTATAGTATCACTTTGACATAAATGCAATACTTCCATAAATGAATCTCTTTCCATTTCTTGGTAGATAATGGATTTAAAATCATCGTACAGAATATATAACTTGTACAATACAAGAAGTAGGTTCTAGTTCAAGGTTAAAAAAATGATAAATGCAGAACTTGAATGAGACAAAGTTCAAATTAAGATTTATTTGACCGTGGGTTAATAACAATAACTAATCCTTCGCACGTGTATAACCTATAACTAATATCATAAAGCAATAACTAGGAAATAAACAAAGTTACACGTTGTCATAGAAAGACCAGTTAAAATTAAACAGAAGCGGTCCATGGCCATTCCGATATCCTTCCAGGTCAAGGCATTAATGGTGGTATTTACAGTAACATCTTCAGCAAATACCTTTTTTACAGTATCATCTTCAACAGATACAATCTTGGCGTCTGTGACTTTCCTCCTGAACTGAGAGCTCCAGCAAGCATTGGAAAGCATTATTCTGTGAAACATCTGAAAAAATTTTGAAATAGGTTTTTCCTCCTCACGGTGATAAAAGCGCAATCCCATGATGACTCCGACCACGATGAATATTCCTATGATGAAGTCTACCAAGAGTTTGTAGCTGAGGTAGGCCACGCTGGGCTCTGAAGCTTCTGGTAATTTGTCTTGTATCAACGTCAGATAGACAGCGACAGCCAACAGGACGGTGACAGAAAATCCAACACGTTCACCAGATTCAGGCGGCATTAGAAATACAAATAACTGGAGGAAAGAGAGGGAAAAAATCGGGAGGATTAGACTAGATATATAGTACGCTGATCGTCTCTTCAGACTAACGGATACTCGTACCTCTTGAAACCCAAGTGCGTTGGTTGTGGTGTAAATCTGTGTTTTTGTTACATTCCACAGACCATTCGGACTGTATATCAACATGTTTGCGGTTTTATTTGAGATAAAAAATAACACCTCCGGTGGTCTGTATAAGGTTACATAGAACGGTAACGTACAGGTCTGAGAATCAAAAGGGTAATTGGAGAAATCGAAGTGACACGTACTTTCGTAAAGGTTTGGAATACTCCACGATACAGATCCGCTACTATTTATCCTCAGACTCAATTCCTCGTGTCCAGTATATTTTACTTCACCATAATCATGCATATTCATCAAAAATGGTACCCATATCTTCTTTTGGGGGACAATAATGGAGTCTAGATTCCCACCGTAGTGCTGTGGATTCCAAATCAAACGATCGTCAGTCCAATAGAGACCTAGAGCTCCCGTAACTGAGAATTTACCGAGGGATTCATCCAACTCCTTGACGCTTTTTAAGATGAAGCCGCAATCAATTTGTAATGGGATGTCCCTGTTAAACCCTGGTCGGACGTTTCTGTCGTACGTAGAGTTGAATATGGCGGCGTGGAGGTCCAGTTCATTGTTAAGATTGTATGTTTGAGACCCTGAGATAAGACTAAAGAGGAACACTAAGATGTCTAATAAATCCCTGGCTCTCTTTTGCGTGTTATCCATCAAGGATACAATTTCTGTCAAATTTCAAGACTTGTTATACAGGTTTACATGTATATTTACCTACAGAATAATAAAATAGTGGGTTTTATCATCTTTTAAATGTCTAGGATGATTATGAATTACCTAGTCCGTGGCCCACGATGATTATACTGTGAAATGTAGTCGGTGGTACAGTCACACTTTTGTCTTTTGTTTAATGATATCTAAATTTCTATCTGTACTTAAATAATTTTGTTCCTATAGAATACATATATATTAATATTTATTTGAAATACACAATGTAATCTCAATACCTGGACCTCCAACAAATAGTTTGCTTTGCTTTTGATGTGATAATATCACAATGTAACTCTACAATCGATATTTTTCACAAAGTTGACAAAAATGACTGACATGCTATCAATCGATTCCATTCAGGAGTAAAAGGTTAGATTCTAATTAACAATACAAATAAAGTACTTTATTGTGTTAAGTTTTATCATCTCCTTTTTTTTTTTTTTTTGTTCCCTGCTTTACCAATTAAAATGGTGGTATCGACCAATCATTTCAAGGGAAGATAATATCCATGATAACAAAATAATATTAGGTCAGTTAAAACTAATGGTATATAAAATCAATCATTTTTATACCCCCTTCCCCCTTGCAAACCAAGTTTACGGGAGTACAGGAATTACCTTGTCCGTTTGACTGTCTCGTCGTGCAATCTTGCCTGGGTTATAACTTTGTTATGGACAATCAATGGAGGTTCATACTTGCTTCAAAGATTGTTTATGACCTGAGGTGCGCCATAACCTTGAACCAAGATCATTCCGACAAGTTCAAGGTCATTTGCAGAAAAAGTATAAAAGGGCTAGGTTAATTGTATGCATAAAATTGTTCTGTAAATATACCAATTGAATGACTAACACTCTGTGTCACATTTTCAAGCATCAATATCAAGTAGAGACTTAGTGCTTTCATTTCCTACTTTCCTACGGAAAAAGATTCCTCTGAAAGCCAAGGTATTGCGATGTTCTTGAAATCTGAAGAAACCAGGTGTATTGGAATAGATTGTGCAAAGAATTAAATTATGAGCCCACTCCGCGATCCAAAATATCAAACACGTTCTATAATCTTCAGAAACAGTTCTATAATACAATAGCAGAATTTGGATCACCGGTTGTACTCTATTTGAAATATTGAAAAAACCTTAAACTTAAGGCCACATTTTTTTAAAGCAATTTTCACTATGTGGAATAATGACGCACTGTATGACGTCAAAATACATCGACTAGCGAGAAAATTAAGTCATTTCTATTAGATATTTCTCACCAAGGGTTCAGGTTCAGGTGATATTTAATTCAGGAATGTTTTTCAGTTTTATGTGAGTTATTAGTGTGTAAATCACACAGACTTGTCACGTAGGCATATTTCATGAAGCGCGCTAGCGCTTCATGAAAAATATATTTACATTTGCTATGTTTTTCTACTAAGCCAACTGTGCAATTGATTTGAAGTTCATTTTTGTGTATACTCACGAGTAGAAATATACACGGTGAAACTCGCGGTAAAGTGACGTCACAATGAGGCTACAGAGACGTTAATAAAAATGTAACGATATAGGGCAGCAAGAAATTCAAATATTGAGCATAATATTGTTGCTTTTGAACTTGTAAAATGTAAATATAAGGATTTTTTTCAGTTTAGTGTGAATTATTAATTTAATTCATTTTCAACATAGGATACCTGCCTTATTTCCGCAGGAAAAATGTTCAAAGACAATGGACTATTCATGAACAGAAATCACTGTTGCTTAATTACATGGGGAAAATTAATGGAAATAATGAATTAATCTACTTTTTTTGGTCTAATATAATGCTAAGAATATTTTAATCTACTACAGTTTGTTACATTTACTGCAAACAACCATTTTTTTTCTATCTTACTTCTAAGAGCAGATCATTCTAATTGCATAAAACTACCCTACAAGTAGAACTCTTTAGTGTGCAGTGTTTAGAAGAAGACCACTTTTGATACAGTTCGATTTACTTGGGAAAAAAACAACTAAGAAACTGTCTAATAGTTTCAATTTCATGAATGGAATAACCTTTCACAAAACAATCTTTTAACATTATTATGTTTCTCTTTTTACATTTTTATTCCGTATCTAAGACAGACGAAGAAACTGAATTGTATGAACAATGGAAACTTATTTAAAATATTTTATCTACGTATTTAAAAAAAAAAATCCGCTTTGAAGTAGAAAAAGATTTTTTTTTTATTTATGACTTTTTATGAACAGAATAAACTTTAAAAAAAAAAAAAAAACAATTCCACACATCATAAATTCAGCTGAATTAATTTTCCGTTAGAAACCATCGGTGATACAGAAAATACTTGGGTGTTATTATCTTCTTTTAACAAAGCTAGAGGGGAAAAGGTAACATGCTTGGGGGAGGGGGGAATGCGTGCTTATAACTGAAATTGGTAAAGTTTTATATATATGAATCGATTTGCTTTTTTGCGAGGGGATGGTCCGCTTTATGCACGGTGCCCTTGTTTGGGTTGGATTTCTTATTTCTCTAAGGGAAATCCGTGTATTTTTTTAAGGGTGGGTGGGTGGGTTAATGTTACAAGTGCTTAATATACTTGTCAATTGAGCTAGAGTATTAAATATAAAAAAAACTTGTGTGGAATTCTATTATTTTTTCGACTGAATATAAACCGTTTTCAGAACATAGATTTCTAGACACCCCCCCCCCCTCCCCTTCTCCCTTACGAAATAACTGGATCTGCCTCTAGAAGTATGAACTAAGGCGTCTTTTCTTAGGACATACTAGTAGCTTAGAAGAAAAAAACAAATATTTTCTCAAGTTTTTATGTGTCAAAATGATTAAAATTATGTAAATAATTTTAAGAATGTTTTGAAACTGAATTTGACGCACGCGACGTTATTGCGTTTAAGTGAGTAACGTCAACGTAGTTTTGAAGTGCCTTTCTATTACAACATGTTCATAAAATACTGAAAAAAATCAGATTTTAAAAAAAAGAAGTTATTTAAGGAATGTTTTTCAGTTTTGTGTGAGTTATTGGTGTGTAAATCACACACACTTGTCACGTAGGCATATTTCATGAAGCGCGCTAGCGCTTCATGAAAAGTATGCCTACGTGCAAGTCTGTGTGATTTAAAGCAACAATATTATGCTCAATATTTGAATTTCTTGCTGCCCTATATCGTTACATTTTTATTAACGTCTCTGTAGCCTCATTGTGACGTCACTTTACCGCGAGTTTCACCGTGTATATTTCTACTCGTGAGTATACACAAAAATGAATTGACAAGCAAAAAAAAAAAAAAAAAAAAAAAAAAAAAAAAAAAAAAAAAACGTTTTTATTGAGGGTTCACAAGCATATAGTATCTATTTTTTCTATAGTTATTTATATATCCCCCCCCCCGTGCCCCCCGGTTCCTACGGACATGTATGACGATTAAAAATAATAATGATGAATATTATTTTACGCATTTTCCTTGAAAACTATAAACATCCTATTACCTTAACTAAACAGGTGCTTGTTTCATTATCAATTTGACGATTTTTCCTGAAGCAATTATTTTACGTCTCAATTGACGTCATGGTGCGGCATCCATGACGTTATAGACGTAACTTTAATCGGCGTCGAAAGGGTTAAAGACTACAACTTGTATTTCCTACAAATATAGATCGACTGCTGCTTCCAAACTTTTTTAATTACAAGAAAACTTTACAGTGCCTGGATATCGAATATCTGAAATATAATCCTCCATCGTGTTCATGTTCTTCTTCACCCTATAACTATATAGTCCAGCTGGACACGTTATTACTGGTGACGTAAATATAGTTAATAATGAGGACCTTAGATCACTAATTGTAAAAGGTCCTAAATATAGGGAACCCCGATCCTTCAACTGGCGTCGGAATTTCATAAATATTATGGATTCTGTAGAGGATTACGCCAGGCTATGGGCAAGACATGAAAAAGAAGACCTTGATACTTTGTCAGAATGGATTAAATGTATCAGATGTATGTTAAAATCACGCATTAAAAGATTGAGGGGCAATATGAGAACCATCTATCCTTCTGTATTCAATAATCCAGAAGTGAAAAAAGAATGAGATTGATTACATGATCAGTACCTACTGGTCCCTGCTGACAAAGCAGGTAACAACGTTGTCTTTGTTTATAAGGCTCATTATATTAAATGTATTTTAGAGGAACTTGGATTTATAATTAATTCTACAAGTGGTAATCCAACTTATACTCATAGTTTTCTTTCTAAGGAAGAAATTCTTCAAAATCATATGTCCGTTTTGAATATTTTTAATATTCCAAACAACCAAAATGAATTTGAAATACCATATCTATATTGGATTCCGAAACTTCATAAAAATCCTTGCAAACAAAGATACATAGCGGGTTCCAGTAAATGTTCAACCAAGCCTCTTTCTTTACTCCTCACTAAGATATTAACAGTAGTGAAGGGGGAACTTCAAGAGTACTATGCAACAATATATTCGAAAAGTGGTGTAAATCAGATGTGGATACTTAAAAATTCCAAGGAACTTTTGGAAAATTTGAAATCACAAGATTTTACCAAAATCAACAGCTTAAAAACTTACGACTTTTCAACTTTATACACAACCATTCCCCACGATAAATTAAAGTCCAGGCTTTTTGATATCATTGACAGCTGCTTTTTCAAAAAAAATTGAACTCGTAGATTTACTTACCTTGTCATTGGTCATTTGCAAAATTATTTTCTTAAAAAAAAAATTTGATTGTACACACAAATACTCTGAAGTTGACATTAAAAAGATGCTTGAGGTTCTGATTGACAATATCTATGTGGTTTTTGGAGACCAGGTCTTCCAACAATCTATTGGAATTCCCATGAGTACCAATTGCGCCCCGTTATTAGCAGACCTTTTTTGTATTCATATGAAAGAAAATTTGTCCAAAATCTTATACGTGATAAGAAGAAA